GAGTGAACTGGGGGGCAGAGGTTGGACAGGGAGAAAAGTGCAACAATGAATGAATGGAAATCCAAAGTCTCTGTAAATTTTCCATTGAAATTAATAATAAAAACAATTTTCTTTCAAAAAAAGAATGGAATCCCAGAACTCTTAATTGTCCTCATGTGAAATCTATGCACAGAACCAACAGAATAAGGAGACATTTCGTGGTTTAAAATCAGGAAAGTGTGTGTCAGGGTTATATCTTCTCTATACCTATTCAGTCTATATACTGAGCCAATTGTTTGAGAAACTGAACCATATGAAGGAGAGTGTGGCCTCAGAATTAGAGGAAGAGTCATCAGAAACCTGTATTATGCATTTGACACAAGTGGTGTAGAAAATCAAAGACTACAGCGTTCAGTAGCGATTACATCTTGACATCAAGGAAACAAAATTCCTCACCAGTGGCCTAATAGGCAGTCTCCTGGTTGTTGTTGTTGTTGTTATTTGCCATTGAATCACCTGTGACCCATAGTGACCCTTTCTACAGCAGCTCTGAACCCTTCCCTGTCCTGAGCCAGTCGCACTAATTCCAATACACCAAACCCCATTGCCCCGTCACTGTATCAGTCCCTCTCATCTGGGGTCTTCCTCTCCTGTTCTGTCCCTCCACCCTTCCAAGCATGACGTCCTTCTCCAAGGACCAGTCTCACCTGGCCATGTACCCTAAGTATGTGAGATGCAGCCTTGGAATCCTTGCCTCCAAGGAGCAGCCTGGGTTAACCCTCTCCAGGATGAACTTGGAAAAAGACCTCATGCTGGGAACGGTAGGAGGCCAGTGAAGGAGAGGGAGACTCTCAAGGAGCTGGACTGGAGCATTACGGGCAGGATTTCAGTAGGTTGTTCGTGGCGTCGAACTTGACTCACTTTTTGGTGTGTGTATATATAAGCAATTACTTACTTTTGTATAAGAAGAGTATAATGGTAAGAAAACAATTAATATGAAAACATGTATTATTGTGTCATATGTTATTAGAATAATTCAATGTTTGTTAGGTTTGTATGAAGAGACAGTTCAGAATTTTTCTTATTTTTTACATTTCAGGGAGAAACACATCTTATCTTTCCCAAAAAAGCATCAGTGGAGCAGCTGCAGAAAATTCGTGACCTGATTGCCGTGGAGAGAAGTAGCATTTTGGATGGATCTGATAAAAGCCACAGGGCGGAATTATCTCAGCAACCCACAGCCTCCGCCCAGCCTCCTGCAGTGCAGCCTTCAGACGCTGCCGGGTTGAGCCAGCGTCCGGGTCATGGTGAAGGGCAGTCACCCGCTGCCCCGGCGGCGGCACCGACGGTAATGCTCCCCTTCAGTCTTCCTCAGCTGTTTGTTGCCCTGTGTTGAGACAGAAGAGCTTTGGGAGGGGTTATCATTTACTCCGTGTCCCAGTTCTTCCTTTTTAGAATTCTGCACTTTCAAACTTTCTCAGATTTTTTTCAAAAAGTGTTACGTCCATAGGAAAAAAAAAGGCATTTATTTATACTTTTAAATCTTCTTGCTTGTTTGTAAGATTTATGGTTTGTTCAATTTAGTATTTATACATGTGCTGCCTTCATGCTTAAATCATTTACAGAAATTAACACACACCTTTAGCTTGCTACACAGTGGTACGCCCATCAAATTAGCAGTTGGATTTCTTCTACTACATTAGTACTTTGGGCCTAAAATTTGCCTCCGTGGGGTTATTATGTTATTAACAGATTAGTAACAGATGTCTGGGTGGTTGTATATGTAATACATTGCACTACTAACAAAAAGCCTCAAATCCGTTAGTTGCTTCAAGGGAGAAAGATGGACAGTTTTTTCCAGTAAAGGTTTACAACCATCGGAAAACTGATGGAGGGTCACTGTGAGTAGGAACTGAATCATCCCAGTGAGTTAACTATCATCAACACCTCTGTTCAATTAAAAAGAATTAACTTCTTCTGGTTTAAGGTAAAGACTGATGTATATTAGTATGCTGATAATGGATACTCACAAATGAGTGACATTTCACGGTTAGCATACACAGACATGCTTTGGAAGAACTGCAGTCAAACTTCTGATGTCTGACAGTCGTTCTTGGTGATCTGAATGGTTCTAATACTTGTCATCAGGTTGAGTCCCTTAACAATCCTCCATCGAGTTTCCGCAATTATGCGTCAAAATTGGAAGAGGTGTACATCTTACTGATGGCCTTGACCCACCAGAAATGCCTGGCCTTTAGGTCAGCAGCACAACTTGGCTACAAACTGTAGTTGTGAGGTGCCCATCGAGTCGATTGTGACTCATTTCAACCTTGTGAGCAATGCCTCTGAGCTTTGCCCAGCCCTGAGCCAACTTCACCCTATCAGACACTCCTGTCCCCCCGTTGCCACAGTCACCGTGTCAGTCGACCCTGGCCCGAGATCTTTCTGTCATGTGCTGACCCTCCACCCTCTCAAGCATGATGTCCTTCTCCAAGGACCGGTCCCTCCTGGCAACAGGCTACACCACCTTAAATGTTCACAGTTGTTAGGAAATTACCCTGTTTACAACAGCGTCTTTGAATAACGGTCTTTAAAGGCCCTTCTAAACTTTTTTTT